TGTGTGTGTGTGTGTGTGTGTGTGTGTGTGTGCAGGTTCACAGGCAATGCCCCCTCCTCGAAAACTGCCACAACGGTCCTGGGCTGCTTCTATTCCAACCATCCTCACCCACAGCAAACTACATGTGCTGCTTCTGCCTTCACCCATGCCGTGCCCGGTGCCAGGGCTGGCGGGTAGCTACCTGTGCTCACCTCTCGAGCGCTTCCTTGGCTCTGTCATCATGAGGCGACACCTACAGAGAATCATCCAGATAGAACCCAACGTGAGTCAGAAACCATTAAAATATTGCTATTATAACCACATCATTTGACACATCAGAATGTTGATTCTGCTTGTATAGTCTATTTGAATTACACATGACTACTTTCTCTTTGCAGCTTACTATTGTGAACTCCAATGAACCAGGCGTCATCATGTTTAAGACGGACGTGCTTAAATGTAGAGTGGCACTCAACCCCAAATCCTACCAGACTCTGCAGCTAAAAGTCACACCAGAAAACACTGGACCCTGGTCGCAGGAGGAGCTGCAGGTCCTAGAGAAGTTCTTTGAGACCAGGGTAGGAAATGAACTCCTTGCATCAACTAGCTTACTATCATTTGATGTGACGTTCAGTGAAGCTCAAATTTCCTCTTTTTCATTACGTTTTGGAAAGTGGCAGCAGACAGAATTGCAATCTGTTTGTTTGAGTGCCCTGATGAGCTTATTTTGACACCATTGGCTCAACCAATGTCACGAGTTTGGAAATACCTGCTTAAAGGAGCAGTATGTTATTTCTCGAACAAAGTTGTTGCTGGATATTGTTTATATTTGACATCAACCCAAACAAACACACCCCTATCTTTATTGCTCCACCTCCAAAGCTCACCCTCCAATCCTAACGGCCCTGCTTAGAGTCACTCTCGAACCCCGATCGCTGGCATGTGAGGCGGGTGCACTAACAAGGACACTAAACAGTAAACACTGCGTTCTCTAGCAGTCATCAGCCTGCACAACTCTCAGTAGCTGGCCTCCGTTACACACGCAATGCAAGAGTGGATGTCTATTTATCGTAGCAGAAGCGCATCAAAGTAATGCTTCAAGAAAAATAAAGCGAAGATGATGAACAAACGACAAGGAAGCAAATTTACATACATACACAAGAGTAAATACAAACAAGAGTTTGCTGTTAGTTGCCAACAGCACAGCAGCTCCAGACAAACAATGACACTCAAACCCAGTGTTACTCACGTATGGAGTGGAATCAAAGCAACCTCAGTGTCTGTTTTCAGGCCTTCCTGCTTAGCTCTCTTCAGCGCTGGAAAGCTTTTCTAACATTAACGCTGGTCCTAAAGCTGTTTCCTGATCATAACCCTTCATTTTACAGCGATATTCTTAAGAGCTATTCTCTTTTGTTATGTCTCTCAGCCATCTCTCTTTCTACAGTCTTTCTTCAAATCTCCCTCTTGCTCGTTCTCTCTCCTCCACCGCCATACGACCCGTCGCCCCCTAATGCTGATTGGCTACACGTTTGTTGTGTCTGGTTGTCGATCCAGCCAACTTTTTTAAACAGCGTTTTTCAAATATTGCTTACCCCACATTTAACTAGTTTGAAAACACATATTTTTGCTATTCTGTTTGGTGCAATTAGTGTTTTTTTTTTTTACCTTTTAAAGAAAATCAGTTCACTCAGCCAAGTGAATTCAAGCCAGCTATTCCCCAGTCATGCAAGTACTAGTCATTCTCTTTCACTTTCACCTTAGGTTGCAGGACCACCCTTTAAATACAACACACTAAATGCCTTCACGAAGCTGTTGGGAGCTCCTACCAACATACTCAGAGACTGTGTTCGCATCATGAAATTGGAGTTGGTAAGCACAAATTGTTTATTTGAAAAAATGTTGCTTTTTTTTTTGTGCAAGCATACACTACTTTACTTTTCAACAATTTGCGATCAGTACGATTTTTTTAAAGAATTGTTTTCAGCAAGGAAACATTAAATTGATCAAAAGTGACAAAGATATTTACACTGTAAAAAAATAAAATAAAATAAATGCTGTTCTTTTGAAATGTTTTAATTCATCAAAGAATCCCGGAAAAAATATGAAGCAAAACAACTGTTTTTAACATTCATAATAATAAGAAATGTTTCTTGAGCATGTGACACTAGCCATGTTTACATGGACACTTTATGTTCGGATTCATCAGTCGGAATGATTTCATTCGGATTGAAACAAAGTGTTTACATGAATGCTAATAAAGTAGTCGGGTTGATGTGCACGTTTATGGCCTGTTTTCACAAACATGGCTTAGATTAAGCCAGGATTAGGCCTTAGTTCATTTAGGAGATTTAAGTAGCTTTTATAAACGATCTTAGAAAAAACACGTTACTGGTGTGAATCTTGAGACAAAACAATGGCACTGGAATATTTTAAGATATGTCAGTGCAAGTTGCTTTCAGTTAAAACGGCTCAAACATGCATTTTAATCTGGGACAAGGCTTAAGCCTTGTCAGTGAAACCAGGGGAATATGTCTCAAGCTTCAAATCGGATATAATCTTTTGACATGCACACACTGCACAAATATACTGAGTTTCCCGAAGACTAGAGTAATGATGCTGAAAATTCAGCTTGATGACCACAGGAATAAATTACACCTTAAAATATATTAAAATACATGTCAATTACTTTGAATAGAGACTTCTTTCAAAAACATAAAAAAAAAGAGAAAGATATAAAATATATATATATATATATATATATATATATATATATATATATATATATATATATATGACCCCAAACATAACCCCTACCGTTTTCTTCTAGTTCCCAGACCAAGCGGCCCAGCTGAATTGGAACGTGCAGTTTTGTCTGACCATCCCACCCAGCGCTCCTCCCATTGCCCCACCAGGAACCATTGCTGTGGTGCTGAAGACCAAGATGCTCTTCTTTGTAAGCGATTTTAATCACTCCTTCAACACTTTCAGTATACAACCAATTCTCAATGGATTAATCAACTCTTGCTCTACTGCTGATCTTTTGAATTCTGATTTATTTTCTGGCCATTGTACACCCACCAGGTCTGTATGTTCTGTGTTTTGAATTTACTGTTGATTCCTGACATATATTAACTTGAAGAGATGCTCTTCTACAGCTCCAGCTGACCCAAAGGATACCGGTACCCCAGGAGCCCATCAGCATCATAGTGCCCATTGTGTACGACATGGCTACTGGACTGACCCAACAGGCCGATATCCCCCGCCAGCACAGCTCCTCCGGAGCCGCGGCCTTGATGGTCAGCTCCATCCTCAGGAGGTTCAATGAGCACCATCCACCACGATCAGGTCCGCACGTCATTCTAATGTAGATCAGTGCTTTTTGAATGTTTGAATATGCATCTTTTATTTGTTTTATTTAATATACATTTTTAAAACGTATGTACATTTTATTTTCCTTCATTCACATTTCAATATTAACTCTAACCTTTTTCTAACAGGGGAGTGCACAATATTTGCAGCAGTTCATGAGCTTATGGCTAATCTCACGCTGAACCCTGGTGGACGGCCATAACTTGGTGTCTCTCAGGAAACTTCTCCAGACTTGTCAGTTAATAAATTTATCCCTAACTCCGGGGAGATTCAGGTTTTCTGCTGCAGCCAATGGACTCTTCTGAATGGTGTATCATATCGTCAAAAAAGGGAGCAGAAATATGATGGAACATTTTTTTATTGTATAATGAAGCATGTAAATTAAAAATTGTAACAAAAGCAGGACTTCTTTTTTAAAAAAATAGCTTGGTGAAGTTCTGCTAACGCATTTATTTTTTTTCAGATGCACTTCTTATGGAAATGATTGTGATAGAAAAAATGTTTAACTACAGCTGTATTTTTTTTATTTGAGACTTTGCAGAAAAATTCTTGTCTTTTTTTTGTAATACAAAATATCAGTACTGTGTGAGTATTGATGTTTTCTTTATCAGCACACTATTTAAATGTTTATTTTGATTGCATTACTTTGATTTCTTGTGTCACTTGAAATAGGAGACACATTTAAATAAGCCGTGTTTTATTATAATTCATTGGAATCATGGAAGAGCTCTAAAACATTTTCTTGTCTGTTTATTACTATTTAATAAACATTGGAAATAACTCCACCCTTTCATTAACAATTCCTTATTTTTTGTTAAAGTTAAATATATTTAGAAAACAAAATGATGTTATCCTTATCTGTCACTACAGAGATGTCTGGCATTTGGGTGTAATTATACATCATAATTATGCATCATCATAATTCTCGTCGTGCCTTTTTCAGAATTATAAAATTGTGTATGAAAATATATTAAAAAAAACATTTAGAATTATTACATATATTATCTTCTGACAATGATAAATGTAACACAAAAAGGTAAGTTAAATCATTTGCCAGAGGGGTTTATCTTCGTAATTTAACTAATGAATGAGGTTCCATTACATTTAGGAGCATAGATCTAAAGTGACTAATGAATGAGAAATTAACCATGAGGGTTTAATTAAGCGGTGCAAAACAATGCACGTCACCACCCAGAAAATATCTATTTTTAAACTACAAACGACTGTAATTGGTCCATCCCGAACAGCGCAAAGAAAAGTAACCGGTTCCTCGTGACATTTCAATAAACGTTCTGCTTCACTAGCGGTCTATAGAAATTTAAATCTTCCTAAATAATACAACTGAGAAACATTAAAGCATATGAACTGAAAATACACAACGTCAAATATATGTATATATTTTTTAATTTCGACTCAGCCTGGTCCACTAAACCCGCCCATTCCGACACTTGTGTCATAAACTGGCTATTCCAGCGACTTTATTCTATTTCTACGGCAGTTATCACTGCAGAGTCACAGAACGCCGGCACTCTCGTGGTTTCTCGTCGTTTTGACCACGCCTTTTATTTACATCTCATGCCGCGGTGTGAATGAATGAACACAATGGAGAGGAGGACCGCTGAAATGCCCCTTTGCAATGAGAGTGACAAACGCCCTTAAAGGATAAATAACCTAATAAATTCAGTATTAATCATATAAATCTGTGTCACTGGTGCGATTATTACGGTGACAATGGCAGCTGTGAGTCTGACGGATCCGCTTTGCAAACCTTGTTCTTATCGTTCACATTTCAAAGGTAATGCCGATCTCTTCAATAACAGTTGCTTATTTATTTATTTATTTTTTATGAAATGATCATCTGATTGAATATGAACACATGCTTTATTTCTCGTTGTTTACAGTTGATGTGTGTGTGAGGAAGCCCTTGATGCCCATTCACCTGAGCAGTGAGCAAGTGGCACTGGAGATGCTGTGTCTCTGCAGCCAGCTGGATCTGTTGATCAGAGCTCAGGTCCACCAGGTGAGACACTTACACTGATGCTGCATATATTTGTGTGTTTGTCTCAACATTCAAACATCTAATCAACATTTGCAGTTTCAGGAGAATCTTAAACAGGACTCTAGTCCCGAGGAGTCTGAAAGTTTTAAGAGACATGGTAAGCTTAAGACTATAATGGTGACAATAGTAACTTTACTGTATTAGTATAATTGCTATCACATGATGTACAACCTCTGAATCTGGTTGTGTCAATAGGGGCTGAGATAATAAATCAGATGAACCAGTGCCTTGAACATTCGTCTGAACCGGTGCTTCAGCTTGAGGTAGGCTAACTAATCACCAATTAACCATTCCTCTTAACTCAATTATAATTTTTGGATAATGTGTTCCCATTTATTTCCATTTCTTTAGGAATTTTTGGATGTTATAAATTTATTCGCTATATTGCCTCGAGTGGAAGTTTATATGATACACGGAAGGCCTATTGACATGCTGGAAAAATCTCTTTCAGATGGTGAGACCACAGAATAATTGGCTAGAATGGTAATTATTTTGGAATGCGGTACTGTAACATTCACCACCCAATGGTTGAGACCATACCTGGGTAATAATAATAATAAACTTTATTTGTATTTCACCTTTTATACAAGAAATGCAGCTTATGGTGTTCTACAATAAAAAAGCATTACAATAAGCACCATGAAAAAAGTACAAATACCATAATTACTATAAAGTAAGATTAAAAATAATATCCATTTCAATACAAAAATAAAATTAGTAGGCCTATACATAAAATGCATAACAAAACAAAAAAAATTAAAACATAATAATAATACTAATAAGACAACATAATTCATTCATAGAATGCTTCAGAAAAGTAATTTGCTAGTTTTTAGCATTCTTTTACAAACTGGATTCCTTAATACATGTATTTATATTAAAATGAACGAACATGCATATTTAAAAAGTGCTAGAATCTCACATTTTAAGCGGAGGAAGATTTTATTTATTTACTCGTATAAAATAGTGTTCTTTAATGAAGCAAAGCCCAGTAATGTTGATTAAAATGTTTCTACTTTTCAGCTTATTTTCCTTATATTGGAAGGCTGAACCAGCTGCTGGTTCTCAGTCAACAGGTAAATGAAGATGTGAAGCATCTGGGGAGTCATAAGTACATCGCACATCAGCTATCAGCAATTTATGTGAGTTTGTTTGACTTAATCTTCATTCACTTAATATTATCTATCCATAAAAAGCATAAAAAAAAGTTTGATTCTGGACAACATTCAATTTTTTTTGTCTCTGTTACAGCAAGTGCTAAAGTCTTTCAAAGACATCTTGCCATTATCCATCATAAGAAAGGATATTGAGGCCAATTTCAAGCAGTTGAAAATGTCTCTTTCGAAAGAGGACGGGTCCAAGCTGGATCCTCAGTTGCCAGCACATCTCTTGAGCTGGTGAGAGTGGTTTTGATTCCATTTGTTAGAATCAGAAGAAAGTAATCATGCATAAGTAATGGATTTACTTTTCACAGGGTGTCAGAGTTAACACAAAACATTATATCAACGGTACTGACACTCTCAGAAGAGCTCAGCGAAGAGTTCAATCCGTTCAAGGAATCTGTCTGTAACCTCTCCTAACAGCTGGATCCACAGTGCCTCAAGTGGATGGAGAGAAAATGTCACAGAATAAAAGGGATTCTCTCAAAAAATGATCATTTAGAGTGTCACTTGATTTTGTTCATCTGTAGCCTATAGACCACAGATAAGACTGTGATAATGTTATACAGATCTATTTTTAAGACCTTGAAACATTGTTGTCATAAAGTTTACATTCCGAGTACTGCCACTTCTGAGTAATTTATTTTAGCCTTAGATTTTTTTTTGCATTGTTTGCTCATGATTTTTGAGTTTTCATATTCTTTCTTTAAAAAAAATGCAATAATGTTTTTTTATTTTTTATTAATCATCTGTATACTTGAAGTGACTGTTGCACATGTTCTTCCCATTGATGAGTGCTAGCAGTGATCATCAGCATTACATGTGTGATTTCATATCTCCACCCTTCTAATGTATAGTGTGTAGCCTGGTCATTGTCACAAAATAAACTCAAACAAGGTGATCAGGAGAAGCAGATATGTTGGTTAACAGTAAAAAAGAGAGAACGAATACATATATATATATATATATATATATATATATATATATATATATATATATATATATATATATATATATATAAAACTTTATTAATAAAATAAGAATATATTTGTAATATATAATTGAATACAGAATGCTGCAAAATCAATCAGCTGTAAATCAAACTAGCTGTGAACCTTCTGAATCTCTTCATTTATTACATATTAAAGTTGATTTTATTTATCATAGTTAATGATTATACATTAGCCTATAGTTTCATAATATTATCACTTTAAAATACTGTATAAAATAATATATATATATATACGTCTTTACATAAATTTAAGCAGTTTATGAAAAATGCTGTTTGAATCAAGTTATTACTAAAATTATATGCTGAAGTTATGGTTTTTTTTATGCTGAAATTATGTAATATATAGCCTACCTACCTCCCATGGGCTGACGTCAGACGTAGCCTACAGCGCGCTCTCGTTGACGTGCACGCGGCTATGAAGAACTGGAAGTAGTCTAATCTATACATGCAGACAGTTTACATTAATCTTCCAATCCAGATGACGGCTGTCACTGGTAAGATTCATCGAGCTGTATTTGCGTTTTTGCATAATTGTCGTGATATATAATAAACAAAGAGGTCAACAGACGCTTAATATTCCGATTATCTTTTCGTTGCTTATTGGTTTAAATAATAAATCGTATGGCATGCAAGGTGTGTTTTTAACCTGACAGCAACGGTTTGCGCCGTTCAAACATTCAGATAAATGAAACTGCAGGTTCTTCTCATTTGAGGCTTTTGTTATAAAAAATGACACAGAAACAGAGGAATGAGAGATTTTTGATTGACACTCAAACTAGCCAATCAGTTTTTTGGTTTTGTTTTGTTGACGTGCATCTCAGCCAATGGCATCCAAGAAGAAGTCACTTGTCACTTAATGCTTTTTGTGTGTTTTCCGAGTTTATGTTCATGTCTGTATCAATGAAAATCGAAGTGAAACGTTTTTGAAATATTTTGACAAACATATTGAACGTTTGCATTTACTATGTAAATGAAGGGTTGGTTGTTGTAAAAATCACGGAAAATCGCTGCAAGAGCTCGTGTTTAATCTTTTTATCTAGCTTCTGTGAATATAAAACATATGAAAGCAGTTAGCTTTGTCATCATTAACAGTACCAGATATTATCCTATCTTACATAGGGGCTTTCAAATATTGCCTTATATTAACAATGGTAGTCAAAAGGTTGAGATCAACTTCGTTATTAACACTGAAAATGTTATCCTGAAAAGTAACTCTTTTAAATGTATTAAAAGAGAGTATTTAAGTGATAATAACATTGTTAAACTATAGTGTATAATCATTAAATATAATAAGTAAAATAAATTGTAATATATAATACATTTACAAATTCAGAAGGTTCACAGCTGTATTTGTATTTAATTCTGTTGTATGTACTGTAATTGTATATAATCTCATTTGTTATATATAAATAGTAAAATAATAAATACAAAACTGAACTGTGTAAATAAAATGCAAAGATATGTGATCTCTTTCTAGATGCATGATGTTGCATTTTATTACAAATTGCATATAACAACATTTTTGTTCTTATATTTTATGATGATTAGTGTGTAACAAATATTAGTAACATTATTGTCAGTGATATAGGAACATTGAAGTACTCACATGATACTCACTTTTATAATTAGTTTAAATTTTGTTGTAATTCAGAAGAGCATCAGTTCCTAGTCCAACTATGATCTAAGAGGAGATGATAGCAGAGCCAACTTTACTGTCCAGATCGGTGCAAAAGTGAGACACATGAAAACTACCTCTGCATTATTTTCTAAATTACATTATATATTTTAGGTCTGCTATGTGTACTTAGAAACAACTGCCTGTGCATCCTGTTTTCAGAGAGAACTCAGTAGTCGACGTCTCTTCCTGTGCATCGGTGCATCACGTCCCAAGTGAGAGAAATGAAAACAGACAGAAGACTGTGGTAAGAGCTACCACTCCTTTCTCTCAAAAACTAAAACACACACACAAAAAACAACAACCTTACAACATGTTACATCTCATAGACTTTCATTATAGCACAGACAATTTCCTTTGAGATATACTGTAAGATCAGTTGTAATCTGGTAGTATTTTTTGTTGTGTGCAGAGAGGAAAGAGGAAAGCCCGGGAATGCTCTGAAAATGCCAAGCGAAAGCGTTCAAAGAGCAGTAATGGCAGCCTGGGCAGAGCAGAGAACGAACAGCTCAAAAATGGAGATGTGGAAGCCGTCACCCTGTTTGAGGTGGTCAGCATGGGCAGGAGCGCCATGCAGGTACATCCATCTAGATCAGCCCTGTTACAGATAAATGTTCTATTTAGGTCATATAAGTTTAAACAAATCTATATTATATGGATGTTTGGTCTGTTTTGTGCAAGGCTGTGGTGGATGACTGGATTGATGCGTACACCGTCGACAGAGACACAGCACTGCTCGATCTCATCAGCTTCTTTATCCAGTGTTCAGGATGCAAAGGTAACTGTGCTCTCTTTCATAATAGCATATTTTTAAAAAAATAGTAATGACGTCTAAAATGGACAATTTTGATGGTCTTGGTTAATTTTTAGTTGTTTAGTTTGTTTTTGTGGCTTGTATCTAACAAATATCATAGTTCAGGATGTGAATGCTATGTGTGTTTTGTAGGGATGGTCACAGCAGAGATGTTTCAGAGCAAACAGGGTACTGACGTCATGAGTAAAATGGTGGAAGATCTGGATGAGGTTAGACATTCAGCATACTCATCATTGAATGCTTTCCCATGTTCTTTGCTCTTACTGATGACTTATTTGCCTTTATTTAATCATAGGACACAGGTTTACAATTTAAGAAGTTCCTTGCATTTCCGTGGATTTTAACTGTCACGTGGCCTCTTGACATGGTACGGTTTAAGAGTATTAATTTCTTTTAAAAACATCTTACTAACCCCAAACTTATTTTAAATTTAAAAGTAAATGTATTTTTCCATCTCTGTCGTCTCTCCATCCTCCTCAGGACAGTGGCGAGTATCCCCTCATCATGTCCGGCCTGTACTGGAAGAGGTTTCGTTCACACTTCTGTGAGTTTGTATCGGTGCTAGTGGCCCAGTGTCAGAACTCTGTCATCTTTGATGGCTACCTCTTGAACACACTCATTTCACTGCTGACAGAGCTCTCCGATTCCAGAGTTCGCGCTTTCAGGCACACCTGTACGCTAGCAGGTAAGTTCCCCTCTGAACATTAATTCCCCTTGACCTGGCTGAACCACACGCATATCCCGAATGCTGATGTTTTGCCACTGTTGTGTGTGTCTCTGCAGCAGTGAAGCTGCTTAGCGCTTTGGTGAATGTGGCTCTCAACCTCAGTGTCAGTGTTGATAACAGTCAGCGGCTGTATGAGGTTGAGCTGGCTAAGATGGCCAGCAAACGGGCTTCTCAGCGGCTGGACAGGATCCAGAGAAAGATCAGTGAGGTTAGACTGTGACAACAAGAGTTCAACATTTCTATACATAGTTCTTTCTGAAGTATAGTCAGGGTCCAAAACTGACACTCGCCAAGTCCAAGTGTGAGTAAAATTTGGGTTTGGTGAGTACATAAAACTATAGATATACATAATACATGTTTTGAATCGCATTGTATATTATACTGTGACACTCAATGATGTAAGTGACATGCACAATTCAAACAGTCATACAAATGTCTGCTAACGCCAGTACATGACTTGCACTTCCAATAACTTTTAAGATACCCAAGGTATTTTTTTAAATCACCTGGGGCCTCATTTATAAAACTTTGCGTAGGATTTGCGTCAGAAGTGGCGTACGGATGAAACATAGGACGTGCGTACGCACAGAAATATTCGGATTTATAAAACCGTGCGCACGCACATCCTTTCCCTTAATAAATCACAATCAATTCTAAATGTAGCGCAGCTTTTGCGGCTTCATGTCACGCCCATAGTTGCCCATAAATAGTCCGTGAAACGCCCATAAGTTAATATTCATCGATTGCAAAATCATGGCAAACATAGAGAGGAAATCAAAAAAACGTAACTTCACTCAATGTGAAGTAGAAGTTATCGTTGGCGAGGTGGAAAAGAGGAGAAAAATGTTGTTTGGAGGGCACAGTGTGGGCATATAGGCTACTAATGCCAAAAAGGCACTTGAGTGGCAAAAGGTTGCAGACGCCGTAAATGCTGTAGCCTCACAACCTCGGACTGTGGCCGAAATAAAAAAGAAATGACAAGCTACAGATGTCGGTTATAATCTACTTGGAAATGGGAAATAGTTCAGCGCAAATGTAATTTCTTCGAGCTTTCTGAATGGTTGAGACATAGGTCTACGTCATACGTTATTTTATCAAAAATAAAACAAACTAAAGGCATATGCATGAATACCATGATTCCGTAGCTGATGAAGTTATTTTTTACTATGAAAACAACTTTCCCCAGTGGACAAATAATACATCTATCTATCTATCTATCTATCTATCTATCTATCTATCTATCTATCTATCTATCTATCTATCTATCTATCTATCTATCTATCTATCTATCT